CATTAAACTTGAGTAGAATTTACTTCCTTTCTGGATTATTTGGTCTGTGTGCTGCTTTTAATGTGTTTTACAACGCCAGAAGGGATCCTCCCCTAGGGTGCAAAATAAGCTTGGGATGGTTTTGCAGCCCGGCCGCTGATTGGGCGCCGGCAGAGAACTAATTTGCAGGAAGGGAGACGCCCCTCTGGCTGCTTTGGGAAGCGGAAGAAAACCGAAACTACTTCTGTTCTTTTCTCTCCGTTTCTCTCCAGCCTTTGTGGAGGTACTGCGCAGCCATGGCGGCGGCGGGTCCCCTGAAGGAGCTCTGCGAGGAGGCCTCTTGCTCCGTCTGCCTGGACTATTTCCAGGACCCGGTGACCATCGCCGAGTGCGGCCACAACTTCTGCCGGGCCTGCCTGAATCGCAGCTGGGGGGAGCCGGGGGCCTCGTCCGAGCCTTCCTGCCCCCAGTGCAGGGGAAGAGCTCAGCCCAAGAACCTCCGCCCCAACCTGCAGCTGGCCAACTTTGTGGAAATAATCAAAAGATTCGCTCTGCAGGAGGGGAAAGAGGCCGGTGGGAAGGAGGGAGTCTGCGAGAAGAAGCACGGGGAGCCCCTGGAGCTCCTCTGCGCGGTCTGCGGCAGGTCCCAGGAGCCCAGAGATCCTCTGCAGGAGGCGGCCCGGGCCCAAGAGAAGGAGGTAAGAGGTCTTCGTGGATCTGGATGTGGAAGAGCTGGAGATTCTTCTCGGCTGCTCCGTAGATTCAGTCCAGTGAAAGCAATCCTAGTTGAAATGCAAGCAATGATGGGTATTCAGTGAAATTAAATGCAGGGACCTGAGAGCGATCTGGGATTTGGTCAGCCTGGCAGAAACTTCAGACATCCCGCTTAATGTGTGGAAGGGCACCCCCCTTCCTCTGCCGGACACATCTGGTTGTCCCGAGTTTGGAAACTAGAGGGTGGGCTGGGCGGATCCTCTCTGGACCTGATCCGGCAGGGCTCTTGCTGTGCCTCGTTTCCCCAGCACGGGAGACTTTCTGACATGGCCTCCTTCTGCTCAGAATTTCACTTTGGTGCAAAGCTCTCTCAGGCTGAGGGCTGTTGCTGCTTGCTGGCTTGTAACTTTTAATGTAGCATAATAGTAAACATTACATACATAATATAACACTATTCCCCTGCTCCCGGTCAGGCACATATTGGCTCACAAAGAGCAGCCAGTAATAAACAGATCCAAAAAGGTGTTTGAGGAGTGGGTTCATAAGGTTTATTAAAGAAATGTGCAAAAAGTATTAAGAGCACTGCAAGGCAGGAAAGGAAACAATAAAGTCTAAATAGCTAACCTAAAATACGCAGGGTTTTTGGTCCTCTGACCCGGATGTTGCCTGACCAGACTGAAGCACAGAGTCCAGGTAAAGTTAGCCCAAAATCCAAGATGCAAGAATTCTGTCCAAGCAAGACTCTCACTAGTCAAAAGGTACAAAATCAGAAGAATGGGCTTGCTTTATGCCAAATGGCCCTCAGCTGGCCTGATCCAGTTTGGCCAATCAGGGGCGTTACCAAGACCTGTGACTGCCACCTTCTGCAGCCAGTGTGTGCCCACAGTCCAAGCAAGCTCTCACTGCCCCCAAGGGTTCCTTGGGCGAATGGGAGGGAATGGGATTGCCAAACTCCCTCTGGGGCTCAGTCTTGAAGCTTCCATGATCTCATTTGCACCTGTGGCCGTCTCACCCCTAAAAATCTCCCTTATAAATAAAAGCCGAATGGTGGTGGCACTTCTCTAGAACATTCCACACGCTCCAAAATCAGTTCGCTCTCTGATCTGTCATTCAGAGGGTCTCCCTATTCACTGGCTGCTTTGCCTGAGTCCTGCCTCCAACATTCTAAACATTTTGCTGTTCCTCTCCCCCCCCATAGCCAGTCAGAACACAGGTTATTTGCATATGCAGCCTCATTGGCCTTTGCCTTGGAACACAGAGGTTGTTTGCATATGCGACTTGATTGGCTTTTGCCTCTAACATTCTAAACAGTTTTCTGTTCCGAGGTAAAATGTGTCCAATCTCCAGGTGAGGGCTGGAGATCACTCAGAATTACAACTGCTTTCCAGATGGCAGAGATCAGTTCCCCTGGAGAAAATGGTGGGCTCTGTATCCTTATATACTGCTGAGGTGGCCCCCATATGACAGCCAATGTGACGTAGCAGTCAGGGCTTCAGAGCACGGGAGAGGCTGCAGGTGTGTGGGGGGTGGAAAGCTGAAGAGTGAGGGGGAAATAAAGGTAGGTTGATGATTGGCTGGGAAAGAGATAGGGTTACCAACTCCAGGTGGGAAATTTCTGGAGATATGAGGGATGGAGCCTGGAGAGGGTGAGGTTTCAGGAGGTGTGGGACCTCGGATAGGTACAAAGCCATAGACTCCACCCTCCAAACCAACTATTCCCTTCTGGGGAACCATCGTGGCCAATCTCCAGGTGAGGGCTGGAGATCACTCAAAATTACAACTGTTCTTTAGGTAGCAGAGATCAGTTCCTCT